ATCACAGTATAAAGTGTGGACTAAGCTATATCGGTTCTAATGTGACTGATACTACATACACAGAATTTGAATGTGTCGATATTTATCACAGTATAAAGTGTGGACTAAGCTATTTCTGTTTTAATGTGACTGATATTACATACACAGAATTTGAAAGTGTCGATATTAATCACAGCATAACAGGTGGACTAAGCTATATCGGTTCTGATGTGACTGATACTACATACACAGAATTTGAAAGTGTCGATATTTTTCACAGTATAAAAGGTAGACTAAACTATATCGGTTATAATGTGACTGATACTACATACACAGAATTGGTATGTGACGATATTGATCACAGTATAAAGTGTGGACTAAGCTATATCGGTTCTAATGTGACTGATACTATGTACGCAGAATTTGTATGTGTCGATATTTATCACAGAATAAAGTGCAGACTAAGCAATATCAAAATGTGACTGATACTACATAAACAGAATTTGTATGTGTCGATATTTTTCACAGTATAAAGTGTGGACTAAGCTATATCGGTTCTAATGTGACTGATACTACATAAACAGAATTTGAATGTGTCGATATTTATCACAGTATAAAGTGCGGACTAAGCTATATCGATTCTAATGTGACTCATACTACATACACAGAATTTGAATGTGTCGATATTTATCACAGTATAAAGTGCGGACTAAGCAATATCGAAATGTGACTGATACTACATACACAGAATTTGTATGTGTCGATATTTTTCACAGTATAAAAGGTGGACTAAACTATATCGGTTCTAATGTGACTGATACTACATACACAGAATTTGTATGTGTCGATATTTATCACAGTATAAAAGGTGGACTAAGCAATATCGGTTCTAATGTGACTGATACTACATACACAGAATTTGAATGTGTCGAGATTTATCACAGAATAAAAAGTGGACTAAGCTATATCGGTTCTAATATGCCTGATACTACATACACATAATTTGAAAGTGTCGATATTTTTCACAGTATAAAAGGTGGACTAAACTATATCGGTTCTAATGTGACTGATATTACATACACAGAATTTGAAAGTGTCGATATTTTTCACAGTATAAAAGGTGGACTAAACTATATCGGTTCTAATGTGACTGATACTACATACACAGAATTTGAATGTGTCGATATTTATCACAGTATAAAGTGTGTACTAAGCTATATCGAAATGTGACTGATACTACATACAGAGAATTTGAATGTGTCGATATTTATCACAGTATAAAGTATGGACTAAGATATATCGGTTCAAATGTGACTGACAGAATTTGTATGTGTCCATATGTATCACAGTAAAAAGTGTGGACTAAGCTATATCGGTTCTAATGTGA